GGACACACAATTGAATTCCTCATGACCCCGACTCTTTCTGAGTTTTAGAGTAGTTTTGAGTGTTGTAGAAAATAGAAAATAAAACATGGGAATGAAAAATGAGAGACAGCACAGGTTTAATCCAGGCTTTGTGCACGCGTCAAAGCCAAGTTAACCGTGTATGGATCTGTGTGTGTTAACTCACATGAGCTCGCTCGGCTACAGGCGTCTGCTTTGCATCGCCTATCCCCCACAGCACCTCTAAAGAAACGTGCAGTTTGGACCACCACAATCAACAGAACTTAGACTCCTTGTGACACTCAACATCTCATTTTTAGGCCCCCAAAGGGGATTGTACATCCAGGTCCAAACATTGTGTAAATTCCTGTCACCAGATGCAAACTTTCATTAGGAAACTAGAGTCACTTTCTCAGGAAAATGGAGAGATGTCGCCACCTGCTGGATGGAGGATATTACTTCAGTAACGGCACTGCAGTTGTATCCAACTGTGCTTATGGTAAACAGTGTATTTTTTTTTGCCAAAGTGTATTTCAACAACTGAATCTCCGGGGTTTTTCTTAAAATACAATGCCATTTCATCTCTGAGTACCCTTCAGATACCTATGGAATCACACAGACTTTCTGCCAAATTCAGCACTGGTCAAGGGCACCTGGGCCCAAGCAGCGTTCAATGTAGGTTCCATTTAAAGTCTTTCCGCCATGATACGCCATGATTCTGATCAGGATTGCAGCCTGAAAACAGATGACTTCATAAAACTCTCAGTGATTCGGGTGAGGCACGATTTCCACGCAAGCCACAGCAGCGATATGCCCAGACAACTCAGCACCCAGCGCAAGCGCTTCTGGCCTCCAAGTCAGTAAAGCAGCACTATTATTTCTTAAAGGCACAAGACCCCAAGAACGCAAGAGCGGCTGCTCCTGACCACATAAATCCAGCCCTCTGTGTCCCTCCGTCCCTGCGTGCCTTCCTCCCATCTCACACCTCCCGGAGCCCTGGCTGCTCTCACACTGACTCCCGGGGCCAGGGGAAGAGTCGCTCTTTGAACATAGTCCAAACATTAAGGCTGGGTTGAGAACTCAGCTGGGGTTTGTGGGTAGGTGGATGGCACCACACACAGCTGCGGAGACAGGCCAGCGAGGCTACCCCTTGCCTCTGGTTATCCAGTTAGTCAGGAGATGGGCGGCTTTGACATGCAGAGTCCGCAGTGCCGGAATCAGGGTCCACCTGCTCCCTGTCAGGGGCGCATGCGTCCTGAGGAAGGGCTAGACGCGTCGAGTGGCAGTGCAGGAGCTGAAGCAGCTGTAGCGAAAAGGGTTCTTACTGGGGGTGGGGGCGACAGGCACCAGCACCTTAGAGTCCCTGAGGACACCAAGGCTGTCCGGGATTGTCTTCCCTCCCCATAGCTCTGCCACTTCTCTACAGGTGGGGCAAGTGGCCTTACCATCTTATCTGTGACACTTTAGGGTCAAAAGAACTCAGAACAAAAGACCACCCATCTAACCCTGCATTTACTCCTGATCTGGCAGGCTGAAGCACAGCAGCTAAAGGAGGAAGAGGAGGGAGGTGCCCTTTCTTGGCAAAACGACTCTTCACCACCACGAGACCTAGCTCCTGCCGAAAAGCCTGTGTTTGAACCCAGTGCTGGATGGGTAGAAGGGCCCTTCCCAGCAGCGTGCTACTTGGGTGATCTCTGCCACCCGCCTGCTATTCTTTCCTAGCCAGGGTGTCAGTTCTGCGCTCTGCAAGGCAAAGGAGTTCAGAGGACGCACTGCTTCTACCATGCCATTGGACTCCTGCTGGGAAGGCTGGTTAGCAGTCAAGCACAGCCTACACCAAACGAAACCAACATTTATCTGTCATCATTTATAAAAAATCTCTTTGAAAAACAAAGCACTCTGTGTATAAATGAATTTACATGTGTACTTAGCATGTTAAGTCATTTGGAATTTGTTACACATTTTCTCTTTTTGATAGCTGGCAGCTGGATTCTCAATGTAGCTCACAAAAGTCTCATAAATTCCCTACTATGGCTCTGGTGTTTAGATATGTGATGGCAAAAAAGCTGAAATAATGAATATTAATAGAATACTAGTAACAGCAAGTCTTTAAAGTGCAAGGCGAAAGAACTGGACGCAAGGAAGGATGGCTCACACAGTTCCCTGTCCGGACACTGGGTGGTGCTATTGAACTAGAACAGCTTGGTTATTGGCCAAGTGGAGGGTATACAGGATTAGGGATATCACAAACATTCACCTTCCTTTGACTTGCATTAATTTGGTAATTTATGTAGGCTTCTTAACCACCACCATCATTTGAGCTCGTAAATATTACAACTGAAAAATTCGGATAGCTCACAGCCTGGTAGATTTTTAACAGCGAGGGAGGAAAAAGTATCCATAAACATACCCAGGCTCACAACTCGGCGACAGGCCGAGTCCTTCCACGGTTTACTGGAAGCCTGTGGCCTGTACTGACTTGCCAGAGCTGGCTCCAGAATGCTTGTGTTTTTAAAAGGTGCAGAGTAATGAGACAGTGTGCTAAGATGAATCAGTGAAGAACCAGTGAGCTTGCTCTTACTCAGTGGGGTCTCTTTGAGCCTTGGTTCTCCAAGTTGGAATTCAAACTCCTCCTCAGGGATACACACAGCATTCTGGGCGCTGCCTTCAAAGCACCTGCCCCCAGTATCACCAGTAGCAACGCCATGGCTGATAAGAAATGTCGGAGCATACTCTTGATTATCTACCAACCCAAACATTTTTTCTTTCATGTTAAGTACTTAACTATGATCACAAACCTCTCCAAAAAAGACTAGTTGGGTCTCCAAGGAATGCAAATGTTACCACGAAAGTTTCTCAAGTACCTTTGTAAAGAGACAAATTGATTTCATGTCAACCTATCTTCTCAGGAGGAATGAATGGAGGACAGCCAGCCACACCCTGATGTAGGAAGACTATTAAAGAAGCAGGTGGGACATGAAAGAAAGACCATCATTCCAGGGTAAGATCAGCGAAACCCCACTGCACTGGGCGACCCATTACTCTATTTTTGAGCTCGTCCAGCAGGACTGCCTTTCTCCCAGGCATGAGATGGGAACAGAGGTTTCCAGCTATGGTGACCTGAAGCCAGCGCACTCTGGCATTTGTGCTGTTCACCAAGAGGGCAAACAGCCAAGCAAGGGACCACTGCGGGGTCTGTAGCTCTTCAAGTGGGCCACCTACAAGGATGGATTGTCACTGGGTCCCTCAGGATGTTAGAGTCTCCTTTGCCTGAGGGCCATGCCGCCACACCCTACGTTGCTTGCGGGCCACTGCCGGTGACACGATGGCACCAGTTTCCAATCCCCGGGTTGGTACTGATGTGATGTGGGCTCAATGACCTGCTTGGAGTCTGTTCCTTTTCTGTGATGACAATGAAATCCCCAGGATTCAAACAGCTCTTCATTACACACACACACACACACACACACACACACACACACACACACACACACACACAACAGGATAAAGCCAAAGGGGAAAGCCAGCAAAGAACAATGTCACAGGAGTCCAATGGAAGGCAAGGCCTCCGCTTCACCACAGGCCAGAACTGCCATTGTCAGACAGACTTAACACACACCCGGCTAGGCCAGGCTGCCCAGAGTCGTCAGGTATCAGCTCTGCAGACTCAGCTGCCTGGCCTTGAAAGGGCACAGGAGGTTCTAGTTTGAAAAACCTGCTCTTTCAGGTTCATTGTGCTCTGAGCTATTCCAACCACACTTCCTGCCCTGGACCCACACCTGCAGAGGCAGCCCTGAGCTGTCACACACATCCTGCAGGTGGGGAAGTCAACTTGGATCTCTGAAGGAGAGGTGGAGGATGCAGGCGGCAGTGACCTGCAAACTCTGCTCCTCCAGGGCATCCAATGGTGGCAGGGTCACTGCCAAAACCACATCCAGGTTCCTCTAAGCACAGCTTAGCTGGCTGTGTGTCAGAGACATTTGTTGGTCCCTTATTTTTAGTTGTAACAATGGTTTTTAAATTTACCTTATTTGTTTCCAACAGGGGGTGGGATATGCTAGCTCACTGTCCAAATGCCTACAGTGGCAGAGGCTGAGCCCAGAGCCAGGAAATCCAGCCAGGCCTCCCACCCACACGGCTGCTCAACCACCTGCCGCCTGGCAGAGTGTATGTTAGCAGGCAGCTCTGGGAGGAGAGTTGGGACTTGAACCCAAGCATTCGGATGCAGGATGCAGGCACCCGAGGCGACATTTTCAGTACTGTGCCAATGCCTGTCCCCAACTCCTTATTTCTACAAGGCCGGATGCTCTCACGGACCCACTCACAGATGGGTTAATAAGTAGGCGAAGCCTGTGATGGCAGTGGTATACTAAAAGGAAATAGAAAAGAGATCAACAATATTGGTTTTCTCTGGAGATGAAATAACACAAGAAAGAATAAATGGTGGATTTCTGAGAGTAACTGTGCAGCAAGGCATCATGGGCATATTACTTTGCCACATTCTATTTCTTGCTTCTGTTTGCTCCTAACTCAGAATAAAATCTTAATCGGATTTTCAATTTCCAGCTCCACCCTATTTTATTGCTAGTTTTCAGACAAGGTTGCTTTTGTCAAATGCCAGCTGGGCCAGATCAGATAATGTGGGTGGCTCTTGCACACTCATGCATGTTTCCCTTGTCAAGGGACCCTGGGGACCCACGTGCAGAAGCATTCAGCCACCCCAGTAACACCCTCAGGATGAGGAGGGCAGGGAGGCGTGCCAGTTTCAGTCTCCTGGAGGTGGGGGGAAGACATGGAAGTGCCCACCTTCAGAACTGGTGAGTCTGCGTTGGGCTTGAAGTTCAAGGTGCTGGGCTTCACCCCTGGGGACTCTCACCTTTCTCTCGGAGCCAGGGGAGCTGGCCGCCATGAACAGAAAACATCACCTGGCTCCTTTCTTTCCTGGGTGTGTTTCAAGGGGAGCCAGCCCCAGGAGGAGAGGCGCTCACGCCAGACACAGTTACCTGGGTCTTTGTAGATGCTGAGCACGCCCTTGAAGTAATGAGGTAAAAATCTTTCCAGTAAAAGCAGCACATCTTCCAGCTCTTCGAGAATCCCCACGAGCAGGAAGTTCTCGTTCACGTTCAGCTTCGCACGTTCAAGGGCCCACTCGCCAGGCTCCCTTTGGGGGAGAGAGAGTGGTTCAAACTTGTGATTCACGTTTGAAATGCAGTTGTGGCAACAGCAAGCAATGCGGACCAATGCGGACCAAGTGTCTCCCTCTGCCCTCCCAGCCCAACTGTGCAAGTCCAAGTTTGAGTTTCTTTTTTTTTTTTAATTATTCATTTATTTATTGGAAAGTCAGATATACGGAGAGGAGGAGAGACAGAGAAGAAGATCTTCCGTCCAATGATTCACTCTCCAAGTGAGCGCAACGGCTGATGCTATGCCGGTCCGAAGCCAGGATCCAGGAACTTCTTCTGGATCTCCCACAAGGGTGCAGGGTCCCAAAACTTTGGGCCGTCCTCTACTGCTTTACCAGGCCACAAGCAGGGAGCTGGATGGGAAGTGGAGCTGCCGGGATTAGAACCAGAGCCCATAGGGGATCCTGGCATGTTCAAGGCGAGGACTTTAGCCACTAGCCCACGCCGCCGGGCCCAAGTTTGAGTTTCTTAGGGACAAGTTCAAGTGCGGCCTTGCCCAGAGCCATCCCTGTTCCCTCGCGCTCAGGTCCCCCTTGGTATGCAGCAAGCCCAGTCTTGAACTTAGTGAGCTCTGACCAGTTGCTTGTTGTGAGGTGAACACAGCCAGAGGTGGTTAGGTCCTAAGTTATGGATTCAAGTTGCTTAGAATGGCTCCCTAAGGGAGAACCAAACCACCCACTAAACAAGGTGAGAGGGTTTGAAATACCCAGGTCACTGCAACTGCACACATTGGTGACTTGGGGCGAGCTCAGGTCAGGCCAGCTGATCATTTCAAAAGTTTAAAGACAAATCTCTATTTCCCTGTCCTGTTTATTTACTTGAATTGTTGAAGGAAAACAGCCTCATCTCCCAGTTGGCCAGATCCTTGGGCCAACAAGTCTCTAAATGAAAATGCAAGGAAACGACAACAAATGACACAAAACAAAACAAAGAAACAAAAAAACCCAGGAGCAAGGTTCCAGGCTAACCTGCCTTTTACCGTCTGGGGGATTTCGGCTAGGACAAGGTTCTTCTTTTGGAAAACGGTATGAATAACCCTTGACCTTATTTAAGGGATTGTCACCAAGGCTGAACGCTGTGACATTCTGGAAGAGATCTGAAAATCACTTTTGTGGTTTCCAAGATAGGAGACCCGGTGGCAGAACTGCCCCAAGAGGCAGTTGCAAGTGCAGTCCCCGAGGGTGGGGATTACAGCATCTGAGAACCTCTTCCGGGAATAAGGATCAAGTTTCTAGGCATAAGTGTCTTCATTGTGATCAGCAAGAGACACATCTGACCCCAAATATTTCCGGTATCCAAAGCACTTGAACATGGGATCCAGGAGGTGCTTGTCATGGGCCAAGGGTAAAGTGTGAGTGGTGGGGGTGGGGACACAAATAGGCAGAGGGAGGCTGCCTGAACTCAGGACGTTTGTGGCAAAAATAGAGAAGTGATCCTCCCAGGCCCAGAATGCAGGTCCCAAGCAAGCACCTGTGTTAGGGTCAGGGAAGCAAAATGGGGCTAACCACAGTATGCCTGCGCATCAAGTGACCTCAGAGTGCAGCAAGGCAGCGGCCAGCATTTCCCCTAGGCGACACCTTCTTCAGGGACAGGGCCCTTCTGCAACAGGCTTTGCTTCCCACTGTGCAAAGACAGTGATCTGTGGCTGCTCCCGTTTCTTCTCTGGATGCAGACATTGGTCTAACATGGGTGATTCCAACTGCAGCTGTTTGGGGTACCTTTGTCTAACTCAGACTGTGCTTACCTAGGGGCTCCCAGTGTGTGTTCCCCAGGGATTGACAATCAGGAAGTGGCAGACCAAGTGTCTAGGGTCCTGAATGCCTGAGCAAGCTACTTTGTGAAGAAGGTCACACACTGAGCTAGGGCTGGCAGGTGAGCCAAGCTGAGCCCAACCACAGTGGAGGAGTGGGCTGGACACTACTTGCACCTGCTCTTCTCTGTCCTGTGGCCTGAGCTGTGACGACTCTAGTTACAAGGATGTGATCGTTGTTCTAGGTACAGAATCTCCTAAGGATGTCACAGACCCCGATTTCATCAGGTGTAGGACATTCAAAGTCCGAGGGAACTGAATTTTGGAAGGGTGGAAAAGTAGGTATATCAAGATTCCCCGAGTAGAGGAATTCTTGCTCTTGTACGTACACTAGCATGCCCGAGCCTGCTTAGCCCTTACCTGCACCTGGGATGCTGTCCACAGAAGTACGGAATGATGTAAAATAACCTGGGGTTGGAGCATTCTGGGTAGTTCTCAAGAATACACTCGTTGATATCCTATAAGAGAAGGCATACCCGTGAGATGCCCTGGGTCTCTGCAGTGTGCTGTCACGTGCACAGGGTTTAAACAGACACAGAACACACACATAGATTTCCAGAGAACACTTCCTATGGCCTCCCAACAACCTGTCCCCCTGTCCAGGCACACACCCAGCTGAGCCTCTGCAGAGAGCAGTTACTCCGTGGAGTGAACTGCATCTCTGCTCTGGCCTTCAGCACCAAGACTTCACTTCAGTTCACAAGCCTCTTGGGGCAGTTCTGCCACTGGGTCTTGTGGTGCCCCAGCACTAATCAGCAGTAACCAGGCACCTGGTACCTGTATGGTTGGCTCTTGATAAATGTTTGTTCAGTGAATGTAGTCTGAGTTATACCTCTTTAAAATTTTTATTTGAGAGAGGGGAGAGAGAGAGATGAGAATTTCCTGCTTACTGATTTTACTCTTCAAATAACTACAGTAACTGGGACTGGGTCAGGTGGAAGTCGGGAGCCAGGATTCAGTCCAGGTCTTCCATGTGGGAGGCACAAACTTAACTACTTGAGTCATTACTTGTTGATGCCCAGGGTGCATTAGCAGGAAGTCAGAACCAGGAATCAAGTCAGAACTGAAAACCAGGCATCCTGATGTGGGCACCTCAAGGGCATCTTAACCGCTGTACTCGAATGTCTACCTTTCAGTGCACCCAGCACTCAGATGGCTGCCCTAGAGAGAGGCGTTTTCCAGGGTTTCCAGTCGTCCAACAAGCAATCAACAAGAATCCACAATGTTCTCATGAAGGGTTTGTAAATTTCAAAGGGTTTGCAAAATCATTCCTAACATTTTGTTAGGTTAGAAAGTGGTGAGATGCCAGAAAGGCAGAAGCGGCACTTTCCAGATGTTCTCTTTCTCTAGGACAAGGGTGACCAAGAGCTTGCAGTGGCTAGTGGAGCTGGGCAGAAGAGCTCAGAATCAACCGTGCCCATGCAGATTACACTGGGCAGGCCTGGTCCTCAGGTCGCTCCAAGGAGAAAAGCAATCCAATGGGTAAATGAAACAAAACACGCCACCATGGGATGCTTTCCTGGAGGAAACACTGGCAAGGCAGGATAGGAGTGGATTTAACTCTCAAACATTCTGTATGAAGTTTACTGCCATTGTAACAGATATCACTCGGGTATGTAGTTAGCTATTAAAATATTTTAGTTCAGGTTAAGAATGAGAAAAAATAGAACTTAAACCTCTATGTTTCTCAATCTCTTTGTTTTAACCTTCCACATTTCTTCACTGTATATCTGATCAAATTCCACAACTATAATGACAAATTTAACCAGGACAAAAGTGCCCCAACATCGTGCAGGAGTACAGGTGTAGGTTCTGGGGCCAGAGAAGGGATTTGATGGAGTAAATACACGGACACACCTGTACTCCAGTGTGGCTTAGAGCAACCCATTGTAAACAAAAACCCATTAAAAATGGGCTGTCACCAAAAAATGAATGATTTGGGCCCCAGATACCTTTATAAGAATAATGTGAAAGCAGGAGATGAATATAGGCATATGAATTACTGTCTGATGCACTGCTGTAACAGTTCTCACACATCAAGACCTAAGTGTTGGCTCTGCCAGGTAATTTTGTTAATGGCACACCACACATGATTTGGTTTGTACTGGTTTAACCTGTTCTTTCAACAGAATGTTTTGTATGGGAAATTGTAAATACACAATGGAGATTTTAATGGCACTCTAAAACATAAGTAGAAATTATGTTAAGTCAGCCCTTTTTATATATATGCACAAAATGGTTTTAAATGACACATAAAAAACTGCATATGCTGATAAATGTAGACATTTTGTGTTGTCCAATCAGAATAAACATACATATTTCCTGAATCACCACTTCTTTATGGTTAAAACACCAAAAATCCTTTCTTTTTCTCAGATTGTTTAACAGTAATACTTGCTTGAAAATTCTAGAAGCTGGCTCGCAGAAGTCCAGCTGGAACTGCACAGGAATCTGACCCCCATCAGCACACAGGGAATGGGATTCACTGTGGCTTTGGCCGGGGGCCACCGTGCAGCTGGTCCAGTTCTTTGCCCTGCCTTGCTCCTGAGCCTAACATTGCCCTCTCCGCGCCCTGCTAACTTGGCAATCTGAGGTGATCTCCCAAGATTTTTGGCATCTTGGGATAAGTCTTGAATAAATCTAATTCCTTTGGCTGTCGCAGCAGAACTTCGACATTCACTGGTGGGAGATGGGGTAGGGCTGGCTTAATAGAGAGAAGAGGGATCTTTGCCATCCCAAAATGTGTCCATCACTGTTCAAACAAAAACACCAAAGACTGGAGTGGGCTAAGCCACCACCTGCTAAAGTTGGCATTCCCTATGGGTTCATATCCCAGCTACTCTACTTCCTATCCAGCTTCTTGCTAGTGACTAGAAAACAAGTGTTTGTCCCCTACCCCCATGTTGACCCTGGTTTTGTCCTGGCCCAGCCCTGCTGTTATGGCCATCTGAAAAGTGACCAACTGATGGAAGATCTCATTCTCCCTCTGTAAATATTTCAAATAAATAAAAGGTAAATAAACCTTTAAAAATTTGATTATAGCACAATTATTAACACATAGGACAATGTAAGTATAAACACCCCAGCTGTCGGCAATGGCTTAGGTTGTACTGTATCTAAGCAAGTGTTACACTGTTGGGAGAAAAGCAGTTAATAGCTGTTGGGCATCCTGGGCCAGTTAATGCCAAATGTGTTAATCACACCAGTGTGCCAGCATAGTTGCCTAGCCTATTCTAGTTTTTTTTTCCAAGGATATGTGTCTATAGGGTGCCAGGTCTATGAGCCCCAGGGCAGGAGTCTGGCGGGATCTGGGTAGCCTGCTTGGGTCCTTTGGCCCATTTGCATGGTGGGTGTTGGGGTTGGGGGTTCCAGAAGGGCCCAGGTCGGGTGGCCCAGGGCGCCAATGGCGCTGGGTGAAAAGTACTGACCACCGGCAGCATGCTTGTTGGGACTTGGTGTGTGGAGTTGTAAGGGGTCTGGGGGATGGCACAGGTGGGAGTGTACAGGAACTTGAGGGCACATGTTCAGGATAGGTGATCTGACTGTAGAGTACATGTGTCAGAACTGGGCTTCCTCAGTAGGAGAGATGTAGTGAATGGCAGCCCACTGAGCCTGTAGAGGACATCTGGTACCACAGCAGAGGAAGGAGGGCAGAACAAAGTAGATCACCACCCCAACCAAGTGATGACAGCAACAATCTGGGTTAATGAGGCTCTAAGGTTGACTATGTCAGCCAATGGACACTGTAAGATTTCCTCATCCTTGGATGGGTGAAATGACAGCATTTCAGAACTATCGAAACCACTTAAGCAAAAATTCTTTCTTGGAACATGCTCCACATTGGGACCCTGGGTTGATATTGGGGTGGCGGGGTGGCTGGGTGTGGCTTCTCCCCTTATCTCCCTTCTTCTAGATGCAGCAAAAAGAGAATTTTGAAACAATGGTATCACCCACTTTCCCCTAAACCTTGATCTTTCCTACCCTGGTCAACTATGTAAACATCATCAAAAATAAAAATAAAAAAAAAAGAACAAACATATTTACCTAAACACAAAAATATCAAGACTCTATAAAATATAAGAATAAGTAAGTTTACCAAAGTCACAAGAAGTGAGTTTTGTGACAGGCATCATGCAAGATAGGAATACCTTTCACCTTACTCATTTCTGAATTCCTACTGTCGTTTTTTCCTATCATGTGAGCATACACCTTCTTCACAAGAAACTGACAGAGCTGTATCCGTGGTGAACAAATCACAGCTGTGAGGGAGGTCAGCTGTGTGTGACCATGAGCTGTGCTGACCTCCTTCCCCCTTCCAGGCACCTTCCCAGGCTGTGGGGGTTGGCTGGGCCAGGCCAGGAGCTGGGTGAGCCACAGAGCACAGCACAGCTCTGCCAGGGCAGCGTGACTGGGCTGAGTGGCTGAGCAAAGCAGTGGTGCTGGGGTGACCCCAGGGCCAGCCAATAGGGGCAATGGTAGCCACTGGAGCCCACACAGACCTGCTGTGCTCCAGAGCGCCTCTTGTGGACTTAGTCTGTAAGTCCATGAAGATCTGCCCATTCACTGCATGTGTGATCGGAAGTCCTCCGCATGGAGAACTCTGGCAAGGACAGGCAGTGGGTGAGAGCATGAATAAGCGATAGTAGGAAAGCACCACGACACACTGCGCCTGGAGTGCGAAAGGAAGCAGCCGCCCCTTGCACGTGCTGTCACCGTGACTGTCAGAAGAATGTCAGCCGGAGGGGGCAGGGGCAGAGGAAGTGCAGGGACCTAAGAGGACCATTTACTAACTGGAATCCACAAATCCCCTCCCAAGGTCAGTTAATGGGAAGATGTAAATTCCTAATGTAAAATGTACAGTAATCATTTTTCTCTTCTTAGACAAGGCACCTCCTGGGGGGATACATAGAGGTCCACAGGAACTCATGGGGCTGACAAATGGTCATCAACTCAACCCAGGCCATGGGACTGGTGCAAGCCAGGAACAAAAGCCGACACAGGAAGACGACGGCCGGAAGCAGGAGTGGACCAGGGTGTTGGCTGCCTCTTGCTTCTCCCAAGGATGAGGGATGTGGCTTCCCAGCAGCCACCTTCAGAACTGCTCCTGGCCACTGCCATGGTAGTACTGAGACCTGGGTGGGAAGGACCATGGCAGCTTCCTGGGAGACAGAATGGGACAAGTCTCAACATCGGTGTCCTAGTGTCCACTAATAGTGGTTCCTCTAGGACCATTCAGTTCCCCAAAGCGTTGACACAAGGCTTCATTATCATGTACTGGTTTACAATCACTTCTAATGCTAACTTATACATATATATATATAGTATATTTATGCATTAATACGTGATTGTATAATTTTATTTTTGTTCCATGCAGTACTTGTAGGGCAAGTTCTTCTTTATTCAAAGCTTTAACTCTGCATTCAAGCTCTTCTCTAAGATCATCGCCACAGTGATGACT